CCTGTGAAATTTTTCTCATTAACAGCTCTGTATTCTCCCATTTTGATGCCTCTCAATCCCTGTTATTAAATCCTAATGGTTTCTGATGGTTTCTGCAGAATTGGATTGGGCTGGATTCAAGGTATCTAATGCAGATTTGGCTTTTTTGTTTGTTTGTTTAATTGTACATTTGGATGAGAAGTAGCTTTCCTGGTAGAACTTGGAATAAAGTCATAATAGACTGATGTGTGGATGAGCAGATGGGAATCTGACCTTGTCCAGGTGAGCTAAAAAAACAAAACAAAAAAAACCAAAACAGTACCCTGATATCTAGCCTCCATCTCTATTTTCAGCTTTAACCCTGTCCTGTATGGCTTTGGATAGAAACAGAGCAAATCTGGAATTTCAGCTCTGTCAATTTATGGAGGAACTTGGGCAAGCTATTTACCCTGAGTACCAGTTTACTTGTCTGAAAGATAAGAATGAGATGATTGTTGCAGGAATTACGGATTATATTTGTATGTCTGGCAGACAACAGGTATTCAGTACAGGTATACCTCACTTTATTGCACTTTGCTATACTGCACTTCACAGATAGTGGGTTTTTTACAAATTGAAGGTTTGTAGCAATCCTACGATGAGCGAGTCTGTCAGCACCATTTTTCCAACTGCATTTGCTCACTTTGTGTCTCTGTATCACATTGTGGTAATTCTCACAGTATTGCAACCTTTTCATTACTATTATATTTGTTATGGTGATCTGTGATCAGAGATCTTTGATGTTACTATTGCAAAAAGATTTCAACTTGCTGAAGGCTCAGATGATGGTTAACATTTTTTAGCAATAAAGTATTTTTAAATTAATGTATATACATTGGTTTTTAAGACATAATGATATTGCACACTTAACAGACTAGAGTATAATGTAAACATAACTTTTATATGCCCTGGGGAACCAAAAAATTCATGTCACTCACTTTATCATGGTGGTCTGGAACCGAACCCGCAATATCTCCAAGGTATACCTGTAAATAGTAACTGTGGAACTAGTCAGAAAATAATTAAACATTATCACGCTGCCAGCTGAGACATGAGACATTTTTATCACCAGTCCCTCCTATTAAACTTTTACAAGTGGTCTGGAACCACAGAAACATGCAGAACTAAAGTTCATAAGAAGAAGAAACTGGGAAGTTCATTCATCCATTCAACAAATATACGCAAAGAGGAGGATGCAAAGATGTCAGTCTATAAGGCAAGTGGCATATAGACATCACCATATTGCACAGTACAACAAGATAGATGCCACATGATAAATTGAGTTAAAGTGCTATGGATCTTTGATAAACATAATATTTCTTCCAGCTCAATTATGAGAAAATATTACAGGATTCCTTTGCTATGCAAGAGTAGGGTGTTCCTATGAAACCTTTCCTAAGCCACAGTTGTGTAAAGCAAAGAAGCAATTACCTTAGGACACATCTTGCTAATGGAGGCACAAAATAAATTGAGATAAAGCACAGATATTCACAGACACAGTGGAAAGCTATGGTGGCCTGATGCTGAGAGGCTGAGTGTAGTTCCTAGGGAACACTCACTGCCTGGGGTATGCACTGCCTCTATAACAGCTGACTACGAAACACATGCTTTAACACTATTTTTGCCTTTTGCTTATTTTTTGGTAAAAAGCAAAAAATCCTCTTTGGATTTCTTTCAGTGAGCTAAAACAGGTACTAATGTAAGTCTTTCATAAAAACAAAGTGCCATAAAGTGAATTTTCAAAATGTAGGGGATACCTGTATATGTAAAAGGTAAGCTTAAGCAGAGTGTTAATGGGTAAATATGCAAAGTGTGTTTATGATATCATGACTAATTCAATTTGACTAAAGCATGGAGTGAATAAAAGAGGAAAGTGTGAGATAAGACAAAAAAAAGTAGATTTGGACCATATACTGTACAGGCATTAGAAGACCAGGCAAAGGAATTTGAGATTTTTTAGTAAAGGGATAATATTACTGATATGATAATAGCTTTACTAAGAGACAGTTCATTTGGAAGCTTTGTGAAAGACAGTGTAGGGAAGAAATACCAAACCCAGCTAGGAGACTCCACAATGACACAGGTGAAAGATTGTACTGTGCTGATTCAAGGTAAGAAGAGTGGAATAGAGGGAAAGGAGTGGATTCAAGAGTTGGGGCAACTAGAATGTACAAAGATTAGCAAACATGCTGTTAATTAGTAAAGAAAGGAGGGCAATATGGTACAGGTATTTCTCGTTCCTTATTTTTGTTATCACTGTAAAAATGTACGTTGTCTGATTCTGCCTTTATTTTCATTAAAATAATGACTATTTTTAGCTTTATGTTAAGTGCTTAATAAATGTGAGATGTTTATTATGATGACAATGATGATGATTATCTCATTAGGAATTAAAATAAAACTTACTCTTGTGTTTGACTTCTCTGGTTTATTCTTCCTAAGAGTACTGGACTTCTTTCATTCCTAGAAGATGGTTCTCAGTCCTGGCTACACATCAGAATCCCCTGAAGAACATTTTTGAAATTCTAATATCTGGACTCCAGCCCTGGACAAATGAATCAGAATCTCTGGGAACTGGACTCGGGCATCAGTATTTTCAATTTTAATCTCCCCAGTGATTCCAATGTACAGCTAAAGTTAACCTTGCACTCCTGATCTTAAACAAGATATACTGCAGTCTCGAAAAAAACCCACTTGCTCACATTGCTCTCTGTCCAGTCATTGTAAAGTTCATCAGGTGCACACATGGTGGTTCATTCCCAAGTCTCAACTAAGGGGCGGTTCCCCAGAGTTCCTTGATGTTCAGTATTCCTTGCTGGCCTCTCCCCGCTCCACACCACTCCATCTCAGAAAAGTGAATAATCCCAGTTCCTATGGGGAGTACAGATATGAGAAAAATCAACCTGAAGTTAATGTAGACATCGCTGGTAGCAGAGAGCAAAGACAGAAAGAACATGGATCCTTGGTGAATTGAATTATTATATCAATCAATCCAGAAGGCTAATCTACCACTGGACTTCGGGTTATATGAACCAAGAAATTTTACATATCATTTAAGCCACTTTGAGTTGGGGTTTCTGTTACAGGCAAGAGTATCATATTATATTATCAGCCCTTTATGCTCTTAAAATAAATGATTTTAGATCTTAACTGTTGATATCAGACTTCAGAAATGACAAAGTGCCAACCTGAAATGTGACATCTTTTATAGGGTAGCCAGCAACAATATTCGTGCCTTAGTGACCTACACACTTGGGCTGTAAGTACTGCACAGCTGTGAAAACCTGGACTTTGAAATCTGACACATTTTCCAGCTGTATCCTGACCATTTGTGTTCTTTTGTTTTAGCAGCATAAAGTACATCATGTGAAATTTCCTTATAGTGTTATTTCAATGAACTTTCAAAGAAGAAAATAATTCCAAATTCTAGGCTCTGAATATGCCCTTGAAATATTATCACACCTATAATATTACCAGAAACTACTTTTATCTATTAAACTTTATGTGTTGACAATACACTGAAAATCTATTTCTTCAAAAGATGCTTCTTATGATACAGAAGAGTGTGAAAAAAAGAGGGAAAATATATTTATATTTGCTTATATATACATCAGGAAACTCTGTAGGGAAGAAAAGTATGAACAATGATTCATTACAAGGGGAGTAGAGGGACTGGACAGATGAGAATGTTTGGGGGAGACATCGCTATATGCGTTTTTATACTCTTTGGTCTTTGAAATAATGTGATTATATTACCTATATACAATGTTAATTAAAATATCACTCTAACAAAAATAAATTTAATTTTAAAATTCTAAAATATATTTTTACCAGAAATACTTCCAAATTAATTGATTATTCTACCATCAAGAACTCACCAACATGAGAAACCCTATCATCTCCACTCAATGCCATATTAGACTGTTAACTAAAACAATACTAAATGAGAAATTTAAAAGCTTTTTTGTGAAATGCTCTTCTTAGTGTTCCATTTCTATTAGGACACCCAAAACTCTAAGCAAGCTCACATATGTCCTGAAACCACACAGAGGAAACACTGAATGTCCAAGACGGGGTGAAGCAATTCGAGTAAAGGGAGAGGAGACATGGTTAAAGTAACAGAGGGAGGCTTGGCACTGGGTTGGCACTGCAGCCCAGAACATCTGAAGAATGAGCACAACGTATAAATTTTACAACTAACAACTAGATGTCTTACAAATGGCAAACGAGTATTGATTGGTTACAGCTCATTAAAGTTTGTTTGCATCATCGTCCTCCAACTCACCCCACCTGCCATCACAAACCAGATCTTGTTCTTGACTTTCCCATCTCTAGGGATAGACAATGGAGTCCAATCCTAATAACAATAATAATAATGCCAGCTAACATTTATTGTTTATTCTACTTATCTCCTACCAGGTATACATTTCAGGCTCAAGCTAAGCATTTAAGAGACTCTCAAAGACCAAACCAGATTCATCAAAAGATCAACAACTAGATTACTAATAAACCTAATTTTTAAAAATGTATCCCTTGAATGGATTTGTAAATTATAGTACAGCAACACTTTATAATGGTATAAAGCTGCTAAAAATAACTATGACAACTACATTAAAACAGAGAAGAATATGTAACATATAGGATTAAATCTGAAAAAGCAGAATGTCAAATGGTATGTAAATTCATTACAATTATGTTAAAATGTGCATGTGGATGAGTCTCGGAAGATAATATACAAGTTTTAAGATAGTTGTATTTAAAAAGTTGGTTGACAAGTGGGGTTTTTTTCCTTTTCTCAAAATTTCTTTCAATCTTATCACTACCCCATGCATTATTTTAACCTACTGTATATTAGTCAGCATACAGATCACATGCATAACACAATCCAACATACTGGCAAATTTAAAAAGATTGCAGTTTATTTCTCTCTCATATTACAGTCCAAATATAAGCCATGCAGAGCTGATATGGTGGTTCTAAACTATATGTCTACCTAGAAATTCTGTGACCAAGAATAGGAGAAGGGGTGTTGTTTTTTGCTTCACTACTCCCTATTTTCCCTAAGGGAATGGAAACAGTTGTTTGAATGTAGTTTATGCTTTAAACCCACATTAACTGCAAGCTCTCCATCCATCCTTATCTAGTAACTAGTTCCTTACATCAGTGCTGCCTCTTAACCAAGTACATACTACTGCTCTTGTCACCAAATTAAGTTTTTATATTTCCCCAGATGCTCATATGACTGGCTCCTTCTTCTTCAGGTCTCTGCTCAAATGTTGCCTCCTCAGATAATGCCATTCCTGAACTTCCCTATCTAAAGCAGCCTCTTATCCAATCACTAGCTCTTTGTTTTATTTTTTTTCATAGTATTTAAAAGTATTTATTTGATCTTATGATTTGCCTTCCCCCAATAGAATTTAAGTTCCATGAGAGCAGAGATCTTTTTAAACTCTGTATCCACAGCACCTGGTTTATAGCACCTAGCACAGTGCCTCACACACAGGAAGAGGACAAAAAATGTTGAATCAATGAATGAATGACCAATCCTGCAGTAACTCTAGCGTTGAAAGGGCCCAGCAGGGAAACAAAACATAATTGACAATTACCAGATATAGGCCTCTGACGTTGTCTTACTGACCTTAGAAATACCGGGATGGAGCAGGGGAAGTAAGCTGTATTGCAAGCTGGTGGGAAAATATCTGATTGTTACTTAAACGCATTTAATCTTGGAGGATTGATTCAAGGTGCAGGCAAATGCTTCTCAAAAGGAATGTTGTACCACTCAGCTCCATTAAATCCCTTCATCCAAATTCCTGGTCAGCTCATCTTCTTTTAGCGTTCTAGGTCACAGTTGATGGTATTAACAGAAATCACCTAACTGGGTCTCTGTAAAAATAAATATCAAAAAGAATTGTAAGTGAATTGGTATTTCCCTTTCTTCCAGCCTGAGGCATGTACAATACCCACTGAATTCAAGGGTACATCCCAGGGTGAATCTATGAGTGAGAATAAAAGTGCAGCCATCCAAAAGGGAGATCTTGTTCCATATTCAATTTGCTGACTTTCAACCAAATTTAGCATTATGTGAATATTTAATAGCAGTTCTTGATGCATGCCTTATACATAAGCCAATAACAAGTTCTTAAAATATGCATAGGAGGTAACTCTAGCAAATGGAAAGCTAAATAAACACAAGTGTGAAGAGATATTCTTCCTGCTAAATTATCAGCAATCATATCTTAGATGCTACACTTCCTGCTAAGGTATGAGGGGATGCTGAAGGGGTTGTAGAGAGTGTCTAACATGTTAATATTGCTAATGGATTCTTGTGTTGAAAGTATATAACATAATTCATTACATATTATATGGCTTCCTGGCATGGCACATAGGCTACTTGAAAGTCAAATTATTCATATGTTATTGCCTCTGAGGCTACACAAAACTTTAGCTTTCATATAATCATTGATTTAAGAAATCTTTTCTTGAGAAAATAATTTTTTAATGAGCTTGAGAACTAAAACAATCATCAATTTCTAAAACAGAAGTCATTATTTTCCTTGTAAACCAGATGTTCCTCTAGGGTTCCACCTTAGCTAATGGCAAGACAATCCTCCCAGGCACTTGGTGGTATCCAGTTTTTCCCACATTCCCAATGTCCACAGAAAAGCACACAAGTGCCCTCCTCATCTCCTCTCAACTGGGTAACAACTAATAGCTTCTTAACTTTTATCTCTACCAGCCACATAAAATTTGAATGCCTTTTTTATGGCATTCCAGGTACAGCCCATTTGGATTCATTTCACTTTCTAACATTACCCCTCACTACAAATCCCCCAAGCAAACCTGATTCCTAAATAAGTTAAAAACGTTCATATCTCTGTGTCATTGTTCATACTGTTCCCTGATTCTGAAATGCTGAAATACTATCCCCTTCCATCTGTTCTTTCTTCCTGTTCGTCCTCTAGTTGTCAGCTCAGTTGCCACTTCCTTAGTAAACTATCCCAATAGCAATTCCTTCAGTAGGAGTAGAAACTCCTTCCATCTTGCTCCCATGACATTTTGCTTGTTTATAATAAAATTATTATTGTTATTATTATATTATTATTAAAGGCCTTACTATGTGCCAGACACTTTGCTAAGCAAGCATTAACTCATTTAATCATCACCATTATTATTCCATCTTATAGAGGCCTCTACAAGATTAACTTGTTTAAAGCCAGGCAGTTAGTAAGTGGGGAATTGAAATCCAGATCCTGTAACCCCACAGACATGCTCTTCTTGAGCATTCTGCCTGATACTATAATTAGCATTCATAACTCTGTCTCTCCACCGAAACTGTACACTCCTTGAGGTGTGGGGTTGTGTCTTTGTAGCTCTGCATCCCCAGTCTAGCACTGTGTTTTGTGCATAACAGCTGCTCGAATTCTTTAATGAATTAACAGAAAAGGGGATGCAGAAGTCTGACAACTCTTTTTTCTTACACTACTCCTTTCTCTCCTACCATCCACCTCCCCAGCTTATTAGTACAGATTACAAAAACTGCATACAATCCGTAAAGCAGAAGCTGCAGCCATCTCAGAGCTCTGAGATCCACATTAGCTGAACTGCCCTGAGAAGTAAAGCAGTAGAAGCACCACATGATGAGCAGCCTAACACAGGCGCAACACTTGAGAGTCAGCTAGAAATGTGACCACAGTTTGAGCTCATTTCCACACAACTGGCAACGGTTTTGTCCAAGATGCAAGCATCCCAGCCCTCCAAGCATTACTACTATAATATTTATTGAGCAATAACAATTGCTAGGTACAATTCAGAATGTTGAACTGGACATCATCTTTACTCAGGAGACTGTGAATTTAAATTCTACAGACCTACAGAAATATCTCCCACCCATACATGTATTCAATAAGCAATGCAGCAATATTCCTCCAGTGGGTCAAAGTACCCCTGGATACTGAATGAGACACTCACCAAAGATGCAATAACTTACCCAGGCTGAGACAATAGCATTTAGTGTGCTAGAGTAGTAATGTGTTATACAGGCCTTAGTGTCCCATACAAGTTAGTACAGCTTCTAAATGTACTAAATATTCAACTAACATAGTTTATGATGTGAGATCAAAGATGTGGCCAAGACTGGCCCTGGAAAAAAAAAAATGTACAAGAGCTAGAAATATAAATCTCACCTCTCCTAATAGCATCACCTTCTGCTTTCTGGTATGTGCCTTTGTTACACTAGGTCCATCCCATTTCTAATTTAACTAATCTCTGCTAAACATTTAACTGGCGATGGGCCAATAAATGCATTACATTTTAAAGTTAAATTTAATTTTGATCAAAGTAATTCATGCACATCCTTTTAAAAGTAAAACATGACAAAAAGTCCTCTAGCCCACCCTTTCCCAGTCCCTACTTCTGTTTCCTTGTGGTAACCACTTTCAGTTCTTTTAGCCATTTCTTTTGGTGTTTACATCAACTTTATAAATAATGTGCTAATACAGTTATTTCTTGATTTTTACATTTTAAACATTATTTGCTTCCTTCTGGAAAAGAAATTACCTGTCAACACATCCTCCACACCCCCCCAAAAAGCATACACATATTTCCCCTCCGCTATCTTCCCAACATAACTACAGCATACTTTTAGGTTAAATCTATAATTGAAGTTTCCATAATTATGAATCTATTAATATTGTTAACAAGCTCAGTCACGTAATATAATTAGAGTTCTTGAACAGCATTTTATTTCCTAAAAGTTTATACTTCCTCTGTTTTATGGGTTTCTTGATTTTCTGTATATCTATCGTCAATTCATTCTCAAACTCTCCATTAGAACTGAAAACTCCTCTCAGTGTAGTCAAACACTTCAGGCAATCTGTCAGTTTAATTTGTTTCTTGGAGACCTCCCTAAGGACTCCTCTGTCCTTCCACTATAATCTGGACTAATTGTTTTTGAGGCTGCTGGATACCTACCACTGTGGCGCTCCCCTCTGCCATCATCCTGAGAATTCCCTTTGCCTCCCTCCTGTGTTAGACTCATCTTTTTTATTTCATGCCTTCCTCTTTCTTATTTTACTTATTCGCTTTCATGGAGTATATCCTTCCATGTTTTTTTTTTTAAAAAAGGTGCAGGGACACTTATGCTGTTGAGACCTCACATATCTGTTAACACATTTACCCTCATGTTTAGATAGGTATAAAACTTTAGTTTGGTATGCATTTTCTCTCAGAATTTTTATAGCATTTCTCCACTGTTTTCTAGTTTTTGGATAGAGAAACTGAGGGTCAGTGCAGTCAGTGGTAAAATCAGGCCTCAAGATCACATCTCTCTAATTCTAAGCCCAGGAATATTCATCCCCTATAATACCCAGTTTCTATTTACTAAAGTATGGAGGGATAAAATGGAAATATTTCCAGGTATTTGTAATTAGATAAAGGGCTCATTTGTAGATCTAAAGCTTGAGTCAAAGGAGTGAAGTTAAACAATCAATGATACATAGTTAATTTGAGAGACAGGATCCCTCAAATCACAGGGCATAACTTCTAATTCTACCCAATGTGTCAAGCTGGTAGCATGCCCTGAAGTTTCTTGGGACTCCAGAAATTAAGTTTTGGAAGACAATACTCCATGGGCCGCTCACATTTCTACACATCTTTTAAGTAGAAGCACTGACTGCCTTTGTTCCCGACTATCTTTTCCAGGATGTATGTGTAGTGAACAGCCATGGGAGATATAGATAATGTATTGCTCTGGAGCAAAGGGCAGATTTGCTTTCAGCCCTGGAAGTTAGAAATAATGTCTCCTGGAGGAAAAGGCAGACATGCCTACTACCCATTATAAACAATTTGGGTTCCCTAGACTCAGGGTTCCTCACCTATGATACTCCTCATTGCATGTGTGAATATCACCTGATCCTCTTCACATTGCCCAGCAAGAGTCGAGGCTCAAAGAATCGACACAAATGCTCATACTCTGGCTACTGCTAGTGCTATGAGTCATATAAACTGTCCTTGGTTTCTGATCCAGGAATATCATGTCCTCTGCCAGCACCAATGAAACTGGCAGACTAAATTGTTGGCTTCCAAGTAGGATAAAATTCAGACCATTTTCACTTCCTGAGAGAGAGATATCCAAAAATATACAGGAGAAACATTTGGGGGAATATATGGATTTAAAAGAGTTTCCTATTAAAAACAGTTTTGGCTTGGGAATATAGAATTCAAACCCAACTATAGTGTAGGAGTCTGGAAATTAAATATACCTTAAGTTTGGCTTCAACAAGCTAAATATTTTTGCAATGCACCTGAAGTGCCTATGTGTTTCTTATTAGTATTCAATATTTCTGTGATCAAGCATTCTCTATTTTTGCAGAGCTCGTCACAAAATATTTATTCCTAATATATGACCATTTGGGAGGTAGCAGGAAAAAGGGTCCCTTGCAATTCACAAAAGTCTTTAAGGGCTATTTCAATTATTTCTGTATACCCAAAACACAGTAAAATCTCTGAAATGTCTTAGAAACCCTTAACTTAAGCTAAGCTGTAATACCAGGAAATATCTTCTGAATACATGGCCTGATCTGCTTTTGGTATCATTGGCAACACCACTGAATGCATTAAAGAATGTGAACTCTGACCTTATAAAGTGCTTTATGTTCAGTATTACTGCAAGTTAATCTTCATCATCGCATCAGGTGACGAATACCCAGAATAAAAAATAGTGTCAATAAGAAAATACCTGTTTGCCATCATGCAATATGCAGTTCTGATCCAATGAGAAAGAACAGTTCAGAGCCTAGCGTGTATGAAAGTAAGTCCCTGAAACACTGTAATTCTAAAAAGTTCATTTATTGTGCTGTCACCTCCCAAAGTCATCCTAGTGTAGA